GGACCGATGCATTGGTGCACCTTTAGTTGCTGTTCTCTGAACCTGTGCTGGTTCTGCAACATCCCTCTGAAGAAGAGACAACCAGAACTGCAGTGCATCCAGAAGACACTGCTACTTACACATAGCAACAAAGAAGCTTGACTCTATGATCCCATTCTACATGCCAGTTAAATTGCACATTAACTCTAGCCAGTTTTTGACTCAGGAAGACTTGACACACTCCTGCCACAACATGACAGCACTTGACCATCTCTCTGCAGCTGATATAATTGTCATTTTGAAACTATCTTAACTTGTATTAGTGCAAACTTCACTGCAAACTTGAGTGATTCATTTTAACATTCATACACTGTTTTCCAGTAGTAAAACTAAGAAATCTCACACAGGTCCCCCCATAACATTCAAATCCATATTAAGAGTTAAGAATCTCATCCCAAAACACCAAGAGGGTAATATAAGAGTATCTTGCACAGACGGCTGCTTAAGTGAGTGCTGGCTGGCAGAGATTCAATCCAGACCAATATCCAGCTTCCCCCGTTTGACCTAATGTCTCAGTTTTGATTTAGTTTTGTTCCATTGTTCCCCTGACATTCTGGGAAGAACAATCCAAAACACAAAGAGGACATTGGCATTCTCTGAGGTCTGAAAGAGAGGAACTGAAGTACTCCCAAAGATGAACTAACCCACAAGAACTAGTTACCATATTTTTCTCAAGTCTATTTCCACTCTGATGAATGAAGCTTAAAAAAAAAAAAACCAGTACATGTATGTATTCTGTCATGTCTTTACAGTCAGCACGAAACAACCCCTACCATATTAACATCACGGATTAAAAACAAACAAACAACCCCCCCACAAGATCAAGATTTTCAAAAAAGGCAGAAGTCTTTAGTCAACGGGACCTAGTGGCTATGCTCCCTTCTCCAAGTCTTAATTTTAAGCTACAAGGTGCATACAACTTTTGGCTTGTCTAAATATGAGTTTTACATTATAGCAGTTTGCCATATCTTACAGTCATTCAAGCTAATGTGATACAAAGTAAAAAGATATGAACCCAAAACCAGATTTCATTAATAAAGTTTCCAGTAATGTCTAAAACAATATAATCTCATCATGTTGGAGTTGCAACCAATTCTCTAAACAGATACTCCAAGCAGAGATTTGTCTTTCTTAACTTGATAAACTTTCTTTCACTTAGTTGTAGAGCTAATGCACAGCGCATACAATTTATTCTGTAAGACTGATGACTGTAGTGTCCCATATGATTAGTGCTCTGTGCACAGCTTCCAACTGAGATTCCAATTCAGTTACCGTTTCACCTAGCTACACAACTGAGTTTAAAACATGAAAACTTCCTTAAAAGGTTGTTGCAGAGGCATTTAAAAACCATGCATTCTTTCTTTGTAACAAGCACTCAAGAGACTGAAAAAGGAACCCAATTCCTTATCAACCATTTCAAGGCACACTGACTTGTTCAGGGGAAAAAATGAGTCGTCCAGAAACAAGTGACATTTTAGTGAGACTTTTCCCCTTAAAATGGCACAGGATTATCTGTGGCCCAGTTCTACAGTTCATAAGTAACCAATATGGTCTTGGAAGGGAATTTCAGAGGAAGCTTTGGATATGCAAAACTGAAAAAGATTAGGCCCTTGGTTTCAGGAATAATGAGACAGACTGTAAAAGTGGTCACAAAACCAAGCTGTACTTCCATTTCTGAGCACAAATTTTGCAACATCACTATGGAAAGTATTTAGCTTAAGGGCAGAAGGCTGCAAGCAACTGCTTGATTCAGTCCTAAAACATAATTAGGTTTTGAGAAATAGTGATCTTGTAAACACCTAGAATTTCAGTAGCAAAAATTAGGGAAAAAGGTTTATAAGCATCTAAAAATGCATACTATTAGAAATAACAGCCCAGTCTCCTTGCCTCACCCCTCTGTTAGAAAGGCCCTGAACATTGTTCACTTGGAATGAAGCCACTCAGAAAATACAACTTACAATGCCTATCTTCTTAATCAATAAAATGAGAAGTGAAGTTTACAAGAAAAATTAAAAGGTAATTAATAATTCCAATGTACAGCTATAAAATTATTTTGCTACTGCCCCACAAGATAAAGACCAAGAAGGGGATTTTTGAGTTTGTTTTTTTTAATTAATACCTCTCCCTTCAACTCTTATTTTGTAGGAAGGAAGGAATGCAGGCAGGCAGTAGGTAGGTAGAAAAGGCAGGTAGGTAACTGGATAGACAGATATCCCACCAAGCCTGTGAAGCTCATTAACTGATCCCACTGCTCACAATCCAGATATTAGATCATTCTGCCTGTACAAGCCTATTTAGAGATGCAGACACAACATTTAAATAATCAATCTCTGAAAGCTAATATGGATTCTGAATCAGTTTTCTCTCTCTTAACTGTTCTTCAATCATTAAATAGAATTAGTTCTGAAGTTGGCTTACAAAAAAGTGTTAGGAAAACTAGCAGTGCTCTTCAGGCTAAAATTATTATTAGCTATCTACATCTTACAGTTGTGCATTGTTTCCAATCAGGGACTAGGATATCAGTATGCTAGGGACTGTAGCAGCTCATAGCAAATGGTGGTTTCCAGTTCAGAGAGATTGAACAAGCAAATGATTAAAAAGTGTTAAAAGCTTTCAGGTATGCTTTCCTTTATGAATGGACTAGTTACTGAAGACAAATGACACAGCCCCATATGCTTGAAGTTTGGTTTACGGTAAATCTTTGCAGGACTGGGATTGAAGTGGATAGTGCAGGAATTAAACCTCGATGGGACATTTCCTGCAAGCAACCCAAGAAAAATGAACAAGTTACACAACCACCAAAGAATCCTTTATTTTGGAAGGGCAGCCCAGGATCCTGAACTTCCTTAATCCTTAGCTGTACACATATGCACTAGAATTTCAGGGTTTTCCCCTGGTTATGTTTATATCAAAAATTCCTACTACACAGATCCCATGGGTGTATGCTTTTTCAATGCTTCATATTAACATTTAGTTTCAAGAGTTAACTTCTCCAAAATGAGTACCCAAAGGAGGGATCAGAACCATCTTCACCACACTTCAGCAGGGTAGCATCATTCACATGTGTGCCATGACGCATGGCAGATCTGCATGCCAGTCCGGCATCTATTTTCAGCAGTCATCCCTGAACTAACTGTGCCTAGAGCTGCAGTGTTTGGCAACCAACTCCACCCTAATCACTGACCACAATTCCAATCTTGAGTAAAAGTTAATGAATTTCCTCCACTGGGGAAACAGACTCTTACAATAAAATGATGTAGTCAGGAGATTCAGGGGTAAACATCCTTCAACTGCAATTTCAGGAGACCAACTGCAAAAGGGGAAGAGTTTGCCATTAGAAGGGGAGGCATAACAGAGGGGGTTGTTATGCCTTTTTCAGCTTTCCAGCTCCTAGCAGTATTCACTTGAGTTTGTGTTTCTCCACCTTTTGAATGCATTTAAATTCACCTGAAGTAAAAAACACTAAAAATCTGGTTCTCTGTTTATCCATATCACAGTTACAGCACAGACCTCAGCACTGCATATCCCATCTATCCACAAACAGGCAAATGAGATATAGCGGACCTTTGGACTTCTTACTCATTTTCTTTACCCTTATTTTGTGCGTTTGGTTTGGTTTTTAATGGATTCCATTCAGCGTGAACATAAAATATGTATCATCCATCAGGAAAAGTTCACTGTGTATTAACAAAACAGCTACATCTGTAATATCTCACAGACTCACACCCCACCTTCTATCTGGCAAAGCACTTAGTACACCTAGAGGGAAATATAATCAACTGACATAGAACACAGATTAGGAAACAAAAAGACAGCTCTCTCTTTAAAAGAGACACATTATATGTATGAGCTGGAGCAGTAGCTATCCTATGTCCAATTTAAGTACTATTTCAAATCCTTTCTAATTAAATACTCTCTATACACTGAAATCTCTCCCAAGTACTTTCATTAATGACAAAGACAACAGTCCATAAGCTCAAAAGTGCACAGCTGAAAGTTTCTGTTGACTTTATGCCAACACATGCACTGATAAACTAAAACTTCCTTTTCTGGTGCTCTTTGAGACTATGAAACATGCAACAAGAATGGTGGCAATAGCTTTATAAAGAAAGGAACCAGCACTCACATATGTACAAAACAGAACCCAGAATCCCAAACTAACGTCATTTGAAAATGTCTGCAATATATAATAATCACATTGATGCATTTTTCGAACACTGATTTCACCTACACTTAAAATCTTCTTAGGATTCCAATGTTCTGAGTTTTCCACCCCATAATATATTTTTTTAATGGCTTTCAAAAGTTGCAGCCCAAGAATTTTTAGGTGAACTGCAGAGCTGCTTCAAACAGAAACAGCATCTTTTAGTCTTCAAAAGGGCTTCCTGCTAGATGTAAACAGGCATCTTGAGCTTTCTGAAAGATTTTTCTCCTTAAATTCATTAAATAAAAAAAAAACATATCATGCTTTTATCTATATTCAGAGTAGCTGCTTTAAGCTTTCCCTTTGTGGTAGTTCTTTTGGACACACACATTCACGTTTGTAAATAGCCCCCAAAGTGGAGGGGCAGCGCCAGGATCAAAAATAAGAACTGCAGAGTGGCCTTGAGAAATCAGAAAAGTGCAGACCGGTGGACTCACAATAAACGCGAACAGCAGACAGGAAGACCTACTCTCAGAGACAAACACAAAGAGCGTAGCTGAGGGCCAGACAAAGGCCGACCTAAGCAAATAATCTGAGGTGGGTGCTGCTAGGCTTACTTTAACCTAGTCTCCTTCAAACCATTGTCACATCACCACATGTGACCCACTACTGTAGATGCAGGGAAGGGAGTTGTGGGCGGGGAGGGGGGGGGGAACAGACAAAAAACATTATTCTGAGAATCTGATCTGGAAAAAAAGGAGTGTGAAACAGAGTTCAACCAAACCTACTAATTAAAACAAGCTAATTTACACCTTACCTGGAAAAGTGTGTGGGCTGGGTGACCCTTTCTTAAGGCACTTAGAACAGAGGACGTGCACAGTATAGTACAGACCTGGCCATTCTTGAAGTAGTACATTCAGTTCTTCCACTAAGGGGGTTATGGCTTGCCAGGCTGTCCATATATTTGGTAGTGATGCATGACTAGCAATAGACAGAGTATCTGGTTGCAGCGTGCCCCTGCCAGGCCTATAACTCACCACCACAGGCACCTTCCCCCGGTAGGCATAAATCTGGTATTTGCCGTCCGACCTCTGAACCACATGATTGTTAATTTGGACACTGTAGCGTGCAAATAAACCAGGTGGAAAGATGAATGGGAAGCTGTATTCAATTTGCAACTGTTCAGCTACAAAAGACTGTCCGCTCAGGTTGGTACCATTGATCCACGCCTCTGCGTGGGGCACCTCATTCTTCACATAGCAGGGAAACTTGTACCAGGCAGTAGCCCCATTCAGGGGTTTGCACTTAGGTTTATTGACACAGTAGCAGAGCCCCATCTTCTCCAGCAGCTCTAGGATGAGCCGCAAGTCCTCTTGGCTCTGGATATGGGGCTTGAGAAGCAAGCGGATAATGTGGGCAGGAAGGAGGCCATGCAGCAGAAACCCTTCCACGTAGTGGTGGAGCTGAGCAGCTCTCAGTTCATCGATGTGAGTGTCACTGAGCAGTTTCTGGAGCAGCACCGTGGCATCCCGTTGGCAGAAGACATTGAGGATGTCAATGAGTCTTGGCAGGTTGTGGAACACATACTCACGCAGGGTCAGGTGCTCCTCAAAATACAGCAGCTTGCCACTTTCGTGCAGATAGGACAGGGCACTCTGCAGACGGTCTTCCGTTAGTCCAGCTTGCAAGCCTAGCCGGGCTGAGTCCCACCAGCTAAGCCACAGCTGCTGAGCCTGTGGCTGGAAATGCAGCTCCTCCAGTACCTGCCAGGACTTTGGCAGTACCCGGTGGAGGTTTGGGAAGATGTCCCGGTGCTCAGCCACAGAGAGGAGCTTGTCCCGCAGGCGCCGCACCTGGCAGCGGTCTTGGCAGCTAAAGGGCAGCACTGGGGAGAGGATCTGTGGCCGGTGGTTGAGTAGATACTGGAACTGGGCTTTCTTGCGCCGCAGGTTCTTGTCCGACACCCCGTAGAAGGCTGCGTGAGGGCTGGAGCAGCGGAGGTCGAAGTCCTGCCCCAGGGCCTCATCCACCTGGTGGGCTAAGCTCTGGAGGTCCCGAGCATCCCTCTTCTCCTGCAGGGCAATTTGATGGTGAATGTCCAGGCACTTCTCCTCCAGCTCCCACTCGGCACAGAGGTCAGCATGGGTGCCCACCATGCACACTACTGCATGAGGCACCTTGGCACCTAACCAGTGCAGGAAGTACCCCACTGAGGGGTAGAAGCGCTGTGGGGCGTAGGCACTCAAATTCACTGCCAGTATGTAGAGGGCTCCAGGAGAGAGGAAGAAGGACTGGATGACATCGTAGGTGGGGTCACCTGCCAGCTCATACACGATGAAGGTCAGGCCTCTCTCCGCATCTGCCGTCCAGTCTGTCACCTCAATGCCTTTGCTGCTGCCTGGCAGGCTTGCCACTACTGGGGCCAGGAGCATGTCTGGCTGCAGCAGCATGGGACAAGGGTCTACCTGGGCTTCCCCATTAACTTTGGGGGTTGGAGACAGGGGAACATCCTGCTGCTTGGCCTGCCTGAGCAGGGAGACTCTGGGGGACAACCCATCTTGCTGTCCGGTGATGAGGCAATGGTCTAGCTGTGCTTTCCCTGCAGTTTTAGAAGCCGGGGCCAAGGGGGTGTCTTTTTGCTGCTGCTGCCGCTGCTCCTGCTGCATGGAACACTCTCTGGGCTGGGATCTCCCAGCATCTGGAGATCCCAGGGAGGAATCTCTCTGTCTGTCCTCCTCCATCAGGCATCTCCTCAGCAGGGTTTTGCCAGCATCCTTGAGGCCCATAAGGACCAACTTGAGCCGGGGCTTGAGAGCAGGCTGGGAGTGTGCCAGTTCCTGCTGGTAGGCCGCGATGTAAGGGATGCCCTTCATGCAGACCTCGTAGGGGGGCTGGATGAGGGGGTTGTCCTTGATCTTCCAAAGGGTGACCCGGGAAAGCTGACCAAAGCCCTCGGGCAGGATGGCGATCTGGTTGCCCTGCAGCACCAGCTCCTCCAGGTTGTGCAGCTGTACAATGGAGTCGGGCAGGTAGCGGAGACGGTTGTTGTCCAGCCAGAGGGTGCGAAGCTGCCGCAGCTGGCAAAGGGAGTCGGGAAGCAGGGCCAGCTGGTTGCGGCTCAGGTAGAGCTCCTCCAGGCCAGGCAGGGCAAGCACGGCTGCCGGGAACTCCCCCAGTGCATTGGAGGACAGGTTGAGCATCTTGAGCCGCTGCAGGCTGCCAAAGCCAGCGGGCAGGGTGCGCAGCTGGTTCCCGTCCAGCATGAGGCTCTCGAGGGCGCCCAGCTGGCACAGCCCCTCAGGCAGAGCCGCCAGCCCGGTGCCGCTCAGCCACAGGATCTTGAGGCGGCGCAGGGCCGCGATGCCCTCGGGCAGGCACCGCAGCTGCCGGTTGCCAGAGCAGTCCAGCTCCTCCAGCACGGCCAGCTCCAGCAGCGACGGCGGGAAGCCAGGCAGCTGATTATGGTCCACATCCAAGGCGCGCAGCTGGCGCAGGTGGCCCAGCCCCTCGGGCAGACGCCGCAGGTGGTTGAAGCTGAGGTCCAGCTCCTCCAGCTGGTGCAGCTCGCCCAGGCACCCCGGCCCATCCGTGCCCAGCTGGTTGTGGCTCAGGCCCAGCTTGCGCAGCTTCCGCATGGGTGCTAGGGCCTGGCCGTCACCCAGCCCGCGCAGCCGGTTGTGGCTCAGGTCCAGCTCGGCCAGGCAGCCCAGGTGGCGCAGGGCGGTGGCGGGCAGGCGCACCAGGCGGTTGCGCCGCAGGCTCAGCACCCGCAGGTGCCCCAGGGCAGCGCCCAGCGCCTCGGGCAGCTCCTCCAGCCCCCGCCCGCCCAGGTTCAGCGCCTCCAGCTCCTCCAGCGGCGGCCCCCCCCGCGCCCCCG